TCTTTGCCGTAATGTATTTTGGGGTTTAAAAGCCACTGGGACGTTATATTTAGAAAATAAACGTCTCCAAGTCCAACATTTTACTGACCACATCAACTCTGTGGATAAATACATCAAGTTCACACGAGAAGATGAAAAAAATGGCAAGTTGGCTTTCTTGGACTGTGAGGTCTCAGTCTCTGATAGAGGACATTTGCAAACTGAGGTGTACCACAAACCCACCCACACAAACCAGTATTTGCAGTTTGACTCCCATCACCCTTTGGAGCACAAGTTAGGAGTCATCAGGACTCTGTATCACAGAGCAGACAGCGTCCCCACTAGCTCAGGAGCCAGGCAGAAGGAGAAATCCCACACAAGACAGGCAATGTGGATATCCTAACTGGGCCTTCCTGAAAGCAGAGAAGAAACCCAAACAGGACTCCAGTCAGCCAACAGGTGAAAAGGAGGAACCCAGACCCAGACCAGTGGCCATTCCATATGTTGAGGGAGTATCAGAGAAACTGAGACGTTTATTTTCTAAACATAACGTCCCAGTGGCTTTTAAACCCCAAAATACATTACGGCAAAGACTGGTTCATCCCAAAGATCCAGTCCCCTGGCACAAACAGAGTAATGTTGTGTATGCTGTTCAGTGTCAGGAGGGCTGTGATCAGTCTTACATCGGGGAAACTAAACAGCCACTGGCCAAAAGGATGGCCCAGCACAGAAGATCAACATCATCAGGCCAGGATTCTGCGGTCTACACTCATCTCCAGGCCAGCGGTCACTCTTTCAAGGATGAAGATGTTCACATCCTGGACAGAGAGGAACGATGGTTTGAGAGAGGAGTAAAGGAGGCCATCTTTGTGAAAAGAAATCGTCCATCGTTAAACAGGGGTGGAGGCCTCCGGGTTCAACTGTCCCCCTCTTACAATGCTGTGATTGCTAGTATCACTCAGCCCTCTGTGAACAGTAAACAGCCATCAGTGTGCTAATGATCCATTGTTAGGCTGATGGTCCTTCTTGAGCATGTGATCAGTTGGTTTTGGTTGTCAGCAGCAAAACTGGTTGATCCACTCTGAGAAGGTGCTATTTAAGAGACTGAGCTGAATACAGCTCCTCAGACTGAGGAAGTCTCTTGGATGAGAGACGAAACGTTTCTACATTTTTTTGTTGTTTTGCTTTGTTTTGTTTTTTTGAATGTCCAGAGGACCAGATTTAACTTTTTTAGAGGTTCTCATTTTTACTTCATTTTTACTTTATTTTTACTTTATTTTACTTTATTACTATTCACACCTTATGTTGAAGCAAATTCCTAGTTTGTGAACCTCGTTCATTGACATGGCAATAATAAACTGATTCTGATTCTAAAGTAGTGTATTTTTGTGTGCACAGATGAAGAGGTCCATCAGCCATCCTGGAACATACAGCTTTGACAGGTCAGTTCAAACACATTCAAGTTGCTTTAAAACCTTCAAATTATGACGTTTTTCTACAAAGTAACTGAGAAAATACATTGTTAGTTTTTATCTTAAACCGGCTTCACAAATAACGTAAAGAACATATGTTGATTCAGTTCTACATGATGTTCACCTGTTTTACAAACGTCATCCTCCCACCTGTAGGGGGCAGCATTACAGCGTCTCTGGCAGGTTTGGAGAAAAGATTTCACATTTTCAGGTTGTGAAACAAGTCTGTTGTTTATGAAAAATGAAATCCTGCTGAGGGTAACTTTAATCCACTCAACTAGAGTTCCCTAGAGAGTTGTCTAACAAAAGACCGAGAACAGTAAATATTTTGGTACAAATTCAACCAAGCACATTCATTCAACCTTTATTTAAACAGATTAGTCCCATTGAGCCACGAGGACTCATTTACAAGAGAGACCTGGAACACAATCTAAACAAAGCCTCGTTTCAGTATTTCAGCTCATAAAGGCTGGTTTAATCCATTTTAGATTAAGTAAATTGTTGCTGTTTTTCCACACATGATGAAATCTTTTGATTTGCAACATTTTGAATTTTGATTTTTCTATTTAAAAACTTTTTTTTTCCCCTTTTTGTCAAGCTGAACTGAAAAAGAGATAATATCTCTCTAAGAACTCCGCATTCATACAAAGAAACAAATGTCTTTCATATAAACTGAAAGATATTTAATCGTAAGTCAGCACAACAAATTATTTAAGTAAGAAGAAGAGGACAGGTTCGAGCCCCCAACCTCACCCCTTCACCTTAAAGCCTTGTGTTATCACTCTAAAACAAGGGTGGGAAACTAATATTTCCAAAGAGCCAAATCAAAATATTTAAAGCGGTAGAAAGGCCGCTTAGAGAATTGCAAAATAATTTTTTATTGACACAAAATCTAAATAAATTAATAGTTTTTCAGGCTTTTTCTCATTGTAGCATTGTTAGCATGCTCAATAAAAAATATGTTCTCCAAATACACTGTTGAAATATAAGACGTACTTTTTGTAAAATGTAATATTAACCTAAATATGGGGTAATAACGTTATATGTTCGAGTTTTGTTTTTGAAAGTTCAGTCTAGTTCTAGAAACACAACTTAAAAAATAGCCTTATTCTAAAGAATTGTATGTATTGATCTAAAATGTTTAGTTTAAACTTCCTTAAGTTTCATTCATAAATGTTTTCATCAACTTTCCAAAAAAAGTTGTTTTCTTTTCAATTACGAGTTGTGGGGGCCGGATGGAGATCGTCCAAGGGCCACTTTTGGTCCTCATGCTGTACTTTGCCCACGTCTGCTCTAGAGTAAACTAACACGCAGACACTAACTGAAGAGATGTGAACCGGAAGCACCTCCTCACATCAGCTGGATCAGCTGAGTTGATCTTCCTCTGAAAAGATTATAAACTTTGTCCCTTTGACACAAACACAACGCTCACTATGTCCCGATGCTGCTCAGTAATCCAGGTGGATAAATCTAACAAGGTTGGGTCAGGTCCTCTGGACGGATTCTTCGTTGTTGAAACATTTTGACTTTTGTCCAAAAGTTTGACTGAAGAAGTCTTTTGGATAAAAGATGAAATGTTTCAACAAAGCAGAATCTGTCCAGAGGACCTGACTCAACTTGTTAGAACCCTCACTGTAGTTATCAGGATCAAACTTCACCTCAGTGACTTACATTTATCACTACATGGGTTTTGTCTACAACTAAGTGAATATGAAAAGATGTGTAACATTAAATCAAGACTTATTGAGACTCCTCCCCCCCCCCCCATCCCCTCCAGATCAGGTGTACTGAAGGAGTATGTGAGCGGGGGTCAAAGGTCAGCTCAGCGCAGACACCGGACGTCCTCGGACAGCTCCGTTTACGACACTGAACGTAAGACATGTTGTGACGTGTTTCTACAAACATCTGTGACCTTTACTGTTGTCCACCACTATGAAAGGTCGGCTGTCGTGTGCTCGTTTGTTACTAATCGTGAAGCAGAGAACGGATCTGAGTAAAACTCTCAGTCATGTTTCAGTACGTTTACAGACATGGACAGATGTGTTTGTACTTTTCATTAAAGAAAGAAAAACCAACAGAAGTCACTGAAATCACTTAATGTGAAATGTTGTCAGGGCTATCATGGTGTGAACCACACTGAACATGGACCACAAGAAGCTGAGGACAGAGTCGTCTCAGGAGCTTACAAAGACCATGACTGACATCATGTTAAAGATAAAGACTATAAGATCTTCTCCACGCAGCTGATGTTCCTCTGACTACAGCTGTGCAGATGATTCAGAAGTTTGAGGTCCACAGGACAAGAGGACAACTGAAGAGACAGATAATAGGAATGGTAACCAAGGAGTCCAGAACAACTTCCAAAGAGATTAGAGAACTTAAAGGTCAAAGTTCATCAGTGTCAGATCAAACTCGACTCATTGATTTGTTGTTTGAGCCACATTAACTTAATGAAAGACGACACAGGACGACACCACATCATAAAAAGCAACAAGAGAATTTGACAAAATATATATTAACAAGCCACAAAGCTTCTGGATCAATGTCTTTTGGACAGATGAGACTAAACTGGATCATTTGGTCCACAAGTCCCATCAGCTCTGTGTCCATAGACCCAAAACAAAGACCAGAACCCTACATCTACAGTGAAACATGGAGGAAGCTCGGGTGTGAGAGAACAATGAAATCTCAAGACTATTGAGGCATTCTGAGGTGAAACATACTGCTCGTGTCAGAAACCTTGGTCTCAGTCACAGCTCATGGGTCCTCCAACAGGACAATGCAACAGTTTGATGATGATGAGTGGACCAGAATCCCTGTGGACAGGCAGACCAGAACACCTGTGGACAGGTGGATCAGAACACCTGTGGACAGGTGGATCAGAACACCTGTGGAAAGATGGATCAGGACACCTGTGGACAGGTAGATCAGGACACCTGTGGACAG